TTTTTATGTGGTTGTTGATAGCTTGGATTTCTTCCTTTAAAGACTCCTTATTTATATACTTTAACCATTTATCACTTTGGAAATAGCTCTTACAAATATATATTAAGTATACAATATATATTCACATATAATTATAAATATATAATATAAAACAATAATTTAATATGTAAATAAAATATTAAATATAAATATTATATCATTACATATTTATATTATCTATATATAAATATATGACATATATATAGTTTTGGGTTTTTTTAGCCAGGACCGAGTCATTCTGGTGACTGCTGATTTGTAGTAATAGTTTGAGATCTGGCCCCTTACTTTAAAAAAAACCAATCATTCCCCTTGAAATTTTGTTCTCTAGATGAATTTCATCATTTTTTCTAGCTCTACAAAGTAACCCTTTGGTAACATGATAACAACATGCAACAATACTTTTTGCAAGTGAAGTTCAGGGAGTTTCAGTCTTGACTCTATACCTGATTTGGTTGGATTTAAGATGAGGCATCTCTTCTTTCCAAACTTCTGCTTCTGAATTTTTAAAATGTGGATGAGCTGTTACAAGTTAAAAAAAGAGGATAGGTATGAAAGTGTCTTATAAACTATATTACAGGACTAAAAACAACAGCATTCAGGAATTATTTGAATGTATGAGGTAAAAGAGAGGTAAGAGTCAAAAGTAACTTTGAAGCTTTGAGTCTGACAGAAAGGTGGTGTCAACAGACACAGGAAAGTTGTGAAGAGAGATGAGTTCAGTTTGGGACATATAATTTAAGGTGTCAGCGAGGCATTCAGGTGGCTATCCAGTAGGGTGTGGAAAACACAGGACCAAAGCTCATTTAAACCAAAGTGTGAGTGACAATGTGTCCCTTCCACCTTAGGGGGATTTCTTTTGAAAGAGGAATGACCAGCAGTCCAATTCAGTGCAATTCATGGCGAGGATAGCCCTTGCCACATACTAGGACCTTCCTTTAGGAACTGTCTTTTACCTTTCTTTTTATCACCCAACTCTTAGCATGGTGCCTGATGTGCAGTAAGTGCTTAAATGCTTCTTGACTCAGTTAGCTTCTTTAACTGAGATTAGGATGAAGTTTTTGGAAGAATGGAGTTCATTCAGAATATGAAACCATGTTGTATTATTTTCAAGAGCTTTATGTCAAACTAGCAATTACTTCCAAGCATGGTACTTAGGGACCCCCTATAATGAATAAGGAGAAAAAAAAGGTATATAATGAATAAGCCTATTCTTGGGGTGATGAGGCACAGCTCATTCAATGACAGTGAAAAAATTCCTGGATTTGGATTCAGGGGATCATGGGTTCCAATCCAGGCTTTGTTACTTACAAGCTGTGTGACCAGTTATTTTTCTTAACAATAACTTATAGTTACAAGTTACTTAACAGTAAGTTGTAGATAACAATACTTGTAAGTACCTCATAGAATTTCTGAGGATCAAATGAGAATCTATGTAAAGTTTTTTGCAAACCTTAAATATTATAGAAATGTCAATAATTATTAGTATTGCTGTTACTTGTGCAATCTTGGGTGAATCATTGGACTTCCTCATTTGCACAATTACAGGGTTGAACTAGATTATTTCCATTCAGTTCTCCATCCAATACAAAAGGATATAATATAAAGGAACCCTAACAGCTACACCCCATACTTTACAGATGGAGAAACTGAGGCCTAGAGAAAGAAGTGACTTGCTCAGGTCACACAGCAAATTAGTGGCAGAGATGGAGGTAGAACCCAGGTTCCCCATTTTTCATTACACTATGATTTTTCTATTGTACAGGATATTATTATTCCCATTTTAGAGATAAGGAAACCAGGACACAAAGAGGTAATTCTTGAAAGGTGATAAGTAGAAATCTCAATAAGTCCAAATTATACCCAGCTCCCATCCTGAGAGGATAGTGGTATAAAGGTGGGGTTCTACCTCCACCCCAATTAATATAATTATAGACGATTCAGAAACCTCAAATTGAATCAAAGTGTAAACTAGGTCTGAATAAGCTCTTAATCTATTTGAAAGGATTATAGGGTTTCGGCCACTGGGTGAAAGGAAGATGAAACCATACAGGAAATACGTTATGATTGGCTAAAAAGATTAAGTCGCATCTCTTGGACCACACATAAATCTAGTAAAGTCAGTTTAGAAACAAACTGTGAGTGTTGGAGTTCCAATTCAGAGGATTCTAAATCGAGGATTTCAGCTAAGCCCCTGAGAAGGAATGACTTGTGAGGAAGAAGAGGAGAGGATTTGCCTTTCTCTCTCTTCCCATCTCATGACCAGAGAGAATGGACCGATAGCAGCTGATAGTGGAACCATCCAGGAGTGATAGTCAGCTGAGGAAAGGCAGCTTCAGGGATCAGAGATAAGATGACTATGGACTCTTTAGAGGTGCCAATTTCTGGGAGCCCTAAAGGGAACATTAAGAAGTATCTAGGAAAGGAACAAAGAACTTCCCTGGCAGGAGTCATGGGCGACCTCTCCAGGTGTGCCTCACTGCTGTCATAATTGTGCTCACGTCTCCACAGACCGCGTATTTGTGGGAGAACGAATACCTGACTTTTTTGGAGGGATGGGGAGAATAACCTCAAATAACTGTTTATGACTCTTGTTCTTGACTGCTTCTTAGCGGAAAGCGAACCAGAGGTGGGTCACAAATGACAGTGCCAGATACCTAGGTCTTCAGTCAGGCCCCTTCTAGAGCCCCCAACCTCAAGTGAGAGTACAAGTCTAGAGAGTATGCCCAGAGGGAGTGCTACATTGACATATTCTAGTGAGACCTGCATGTATCTGGGAGACATCTGCTCTCTCTGTAAATATTACTGAGGGGTTCAATAAAAAAGAAGAAATATAACAAGGAAAAAATGTAAATTTCTTCACTTGGTTTCAAACAAATCAACCACATGAGTACAAGATGGGGGATGTGGCTGGGTATATGACCTTATACTGCATGAAGCAAAGTCTAACATAGTATGCATTCAAAGTGAAGGAGCTGATAGTTCCTGTTTTCTGCCTTGGTAGGGCCTCCTCATCTGGAGTATCATGTCTTACTTGGGGGGCATATTTTTGGAGAGGCTCTGGCAATCCAGAGCATATTCAGAAGAGGCAGACAGGGATGGAGACACAAAATTAACATTTAAGGGTTGAAGGAACAGGGGATATTTAGCCTGAAGAAAGTAAAGGGGACATGATCATTGTTTCCAAATACCAAAAGGATTTTCAAGAGGAATGGGGAATAGATGTATTCAATGAGGAAATGTGGCATAAAACATGGTGGACAAGAATTTAGAAGACTGAAGAATGAATGGTGGCTCTGATACTTTCTAGCTCTGTGACCCTGGACAAGTTATCCAACCTTTCTGAGCCTACCAATTTACAACGTTGTGAGTGAACTTGCTTTATAAGTCTTAAAGTGTCACATACGAACAGGATTTTTTTGTATCCTCCCAGGTTAAAAAAAAACTCCTTAAAAATAATTTTTAAAAAGGCAGCAATAGGATCACTGGTGGGATGAGGGAGGACTGAGAGGCAGATTTTTCTTAATGTAAGAGAGTAACTTCTTGACAATTAGAGATGCTAAAAAATAGAACTGCTTTTTCCAGTAGATAAATGGTCAAAGGATCACTTCTCAAAAGAAGCATCACAAAAGTTATTAATAACCACATGAAAGTTCCAAATCACTCATAGTAAGAGAAATGAAAATCAAAATAACCCTGAAGTTCCACTGTACACTCTGCAAATTGGCAAAGATAAAAATGGCAATAATTAATGATGGAGAGTTGTGGGATGATAGGCAAACTAATGCTTTATTGGTCTATATGTTCATACAGACTATTTGTCCCCGACCTGTGGTAGAGCCTTTTGAGCTTATCAGTCACAGTCTGACACACTGTACCTTGGCTCCCAACTTAGTGATGTCATTTTGGTCCTCTTTGAGAATGACAACAGCAGCATTATTTAGGTAGAGCTGTGAATTAGTACAGCCAATTTGGAAAGAAATTAGGAATTATGTAAACAGTGACTAAAATGTCCATATCCTTTAACCTAGAGATTCCATTAATGGGCTTGTACTCCAAGGAAGTCATTGATAAGAAGAAAGTCTCCAAATACATCAAAATACACGTAGCAACTCTTTGTAACAGCTAAAAACTGGAAACAAAGTGTATGCCTATTGATTGGGGAATGGCTTCATAAACTGTAGTACGTAAATGTAATGGAATATTACTGTGCTATCAGAAGTGATGAATGTGATGAATACAGAGAGGCATGGAAAGATCTATATGAACGGATGCAGAAAACAACATACACAATAACAATGGAAAAGGAAAGAAGATACATCAAAAAAATCAGAAGTAAATGTAGCAAAATTATAAATATCAAGTAGGTCTAGAACGAAACAAGAGGACACTTCCCACCAACCCACAGAACTGGGAGGTTCCCAGGTGTTGCTCACTGCACATTTCTTTGGACTTTCTCAATGTATTGATCAGCTGTGCTGTCTTTTTTCTCTACATTATAATTGTTGTTGTTATTTGCCTTTAAAAATATTATCTGTTATATGGGATGGCTCTTTGGGATGGAGAATGGGAGGGCTAACTGGGAAAACTAATGATATAAAAAGCAAAAGACATTAATAAAAACTTATTTAAAAAAAATAGAGGGGCTATCTTGATTAAGTAGTGGGCTCCTTGTCAGAGCAGAAGCCTGGAAGGGATGCATTGGGTGGGAGATGACATTGATGACCTCTGAGATCCCCTTTCAGCTCCTCAAGTCTATGATTCTCAGATCATGGAAATAAAGATGACTGATTTAGGTATCGAAAACATAAGTAAATTAAAACAAGCTGTAAGCCAGACGTTGTTCCTCTGATTAAGTAAGAAGACGTTCTCTAACAACTGAGCTTTGATAAGACACATAAAACAATGAAGACAGGACTCAAAAAGAGGAAGAGGGAGGTAAATAACACACTTCACTCTCAAAATAAATACTAATCAAATTTATTTTATAAATACAGATGCTGAATTTTCTCCCAATTACCAGCAGATAAGTTTCCCGCATGCCATTTATTATTGGTGGTGATTTTGAAAATTATTTAAATAATTGGTTAGGTCAGGATAAATAGACATTGTTAGGATTGCTATAAAAATATAGCTGGATACAGTCTTCCAAAACTAATATTCTTAAAAAAAATGCCTCCAGAATTTCAAGGGTTGGGGGAGGAGTGGAGTACCACCAAGTACTGATTTGAAAACATTCACAAACTGTTCTAATCTTCATGGAAATTAGTGAGGTTCTTGACAGCTTCAAAATGGACAGTGACGTGATAGTTTCCGCCCAAATTCCCACATTACCTCCTCAATCGCTCTCCCCTCCCCCTGCCCAAGCAGTCTAAATTTTTTGGTAATTTTTACAAGACAAATTTGAAAAGAAAAACTAAAAGCTGGGAACTCATCAGTGTTTGGGCCCTGGCCATTTAAAGCACTGGAAAAACTACGTTTACAGCAATGAAAAATGAACTCAAATCTGTTCACCGAGACACTGAAATACTCTAGTTATAGGGAAAATGTAATTGACACTGCAAAGAAACTCAAGCTATATTCGGTAAGGTGTACATTATTGGAAAAGGCATGAACCAAGCAAATATGACCATCAGGGCCAGTTCCACTGTGACCTGGTGCTCCTGAACACTAGTGCTCCATATGGCGCAGATCAAAATCAGCAGGTTAAACAGCAAATAGCTACAAGGAGGACGAGCACAGGGGGAAGACGGCGACTTGGGCTTCATTTGGTTGAGTGGAACCTGAGATTAATGCCCACGAATGCTTGTTCTCTGCGTCCTGTTCTCGTCATCGGGACCAGTGGCTTGGTGGTGCCAGGGGCCTGAGGGGAGGGCCTCCCAGGATCACACAGTACGCAGCTCCTCTTTGGGTTTGGCACTGACTTCAAAGACTGACTGCCAGGTTTGGGAAGTTGGTGTAGTGTGTGCATTTTGTTCTCTCCTCGGAGACAATGGTCCTGGATTTTGGTTGCTGTCTCCTCAGGTGGAGGACTGTTGTGACTCCTCCAGAGGCTGCTGGGTGAGTCTAGCCAACAAAGATGTAGTATCCTCTGAAAGCACCCTGCAGGGGACACTGAAGGGGCTTCTGCCCTAGGCCCCAAGGGGACGGAGCAGCTCATTTGGAATACATGAGATTTCTTCAAATGAAGTTAAAGCTTTTTCCTAGGAGTCTTTTAAAATTTCTGTGCATCTGCTCTGCCTAATACTGCAAGACAGCTGTGTGTATGTGTGTGTGTGAGAGATAAGATACATGGAAAATAATGACTGGTGGTGAGATACTCTAGTCTAATGGATCTATAAATCCAAAGGAAGCTCAGCAGAGCCAGACAAAATATGAAGAGGATTTCAGGCCCTGTTAATGCCTAAGATGTTACGTGGGGAAAATGCAGCTCCTAAGCAGCACATACTGTATGTGCTATTCTATATGGCCTAAGAACTCTGACAGAGTTAAGGAATAAGATTATATTGTACATATTCACAGCTTCCTTTGGCCTGGCATTAGGGGGATGTGCCACATGGTAGGTAATACATGTCTGAAGAGGAAATTCAGACCCGGAAAGAAAAATCAGGTCGTGGGGAAGAAAACTCAATTGTTATTTATTTGGGTAACATATATAGCAAGATGACTACATTCTCTTTAAAGAGCTTGTAACCCTGGCACTACATTCCTGAGTATATGGCACAGGCAGCAACAGGGATGGAATCTGAGCTTTGAAAATGGCGAGTGATTAAATTAAATGGAGAGAACTGTGTCTTATTTTCCCTCATCTCTTGACACGATCCAGCTATTCCCAATGTTCAGATTCATAGGGCTGGGCAAGCCACATCTATTTAATTGTATACAGTACTTGGCAGGTTTGTTTTTACTTCTGACTATAAATTCAATAAGTTAACATGGAGTCCAAATCTAGGGGGTTGGCCTGCTGTGTGAATTTCTTAAAAGCATGCCTGGCTTTTGGTTTCCCAACATTCAACTATATATGTATTAGAGCTATAGCCCAAGAATGGGATTGCATCATGAAATCTATAGGATACTTGGAATCCTCTGTTGATTAATCAGTATTCTAGAAAATCCAACTGTTATTAAAAAAAAAAAATCAAATAGTTGAGGGCCATGTCTAAAGAGGCTGGTATTAAATGGAGAAAGGATGTGGCCATTTGTTAAGACAGCACAGAGGACATACTCAAGTTTCTTACTTAGGCAACTGGACATGTGATAAGACTGGGGTGACAGAAGCCCAGGGAGATACTAAGTTGTTGGGGTGGTGCACCTGTGCTTGAGAAACTCCCCAAGCTTAATCCTCAACCACACAAAGGGCCAAGGTCCTTCCAGGGAGCAGGGAAAACCTGGTCCTAGAGATTCAGCTTTTGAACCATACTGAGAGTGTTACTTGTGATAAACAGTGACAAACAATAAAAGATACATTCATTCATTTTATGATTTATATATTATCATCTTCCATCCAAGGATAAAACAAAATTGTATATAACAGAAGCAGATGAATACCTATAACATGGCCTGAACTAGACAGAAGCTTTTTCAAGTTAAAGAATGACTATTGACCTAGAACCAACTGTAAGGTTTGAAAAGCAAATATATGGAAACAGAGTATAAGTCTACCTGGCCCATTCATACATCTGACCCCGTGTCCTGGCTCACTTCCCCAAGTCCACTTTCCAATAGACTCAATCTGTTTTATTTTGCTCCATAATTAATACAAAGGATAAGTGCAACTTCATCTTCATTTGTGATCAATCACCCTGTTCTGGTCCAGTCAATGACTTCTCCCTACCCACACTCACTTGTCTGAGCTCTTGCGTGGCCGGCGGAAGCTGGACACGTTTTCATTCAGTGCATAGATACGTCGGGAGAACTCCTCAAACTCCCCCAGCACTTGCTCATCGCATTCTACGGCCACGGCCCTATCCACCGGGATGCAGTTAAATGCTTCTAGCTGGTCCCCTGAGCTCAAGCCCATTGCCTCTGTGCCAATGATCTCTTCAGCCTGCTCTACGGCACAACGGAACTCAGCCCCTCTGGTGGTGGCGGGGAGCTCCTCCAGCTGCTCACTGCAGGCTGTGCTGTTGTGCTCCCTGGGAAGGAGGGTTCCATTGATTGCACCAGGATGCTCGAGGAGCAGCTCCTGTGACTCCTGGCTACTGTTCACATTCACGTGGCCCCTGTTTAAATGATCATCAAAATCAGCTTCTTTTTTCTTATTGTCTTTGGAGAAGTCCAAGGAGGTATCTAAGGAAGATGATAAAGATGCCATTTTTTTCTCGGAATCTCCAATAGTCTTAATGGTGGCCACAGGTTGGGCTAATGCTGAGTTGTAACTGGGAGGAGGAGTTTTATATTGGAGTCTCTCATTTTCTGAACTGGCCCGTTTACGATGACCTTTGTCTGGTGGTGATGGTACCCCAGTAGAGAAGCCAACATCTACACCCCCAAATATGGAACTTTGTCTCTTTGGAACTGGAATGGCACTGGAGGTGTGATGTCTGTCACTGAAAGACAAAGAAAAACAATACATTACCTCTCATTTAACAGCAGTACCTCATATTTCTGCATCTCAGGTTTACAAAGCAATTTCCTTACTTTAGCTCTGAGAGGTAGGTAGGTAGTACAAATATTATTACCCTTGTGATATGATAAACAGGATTTCAGATGAGGGGCTCATGGAGGTAATTTCCAATTGAGAGCCTATGATGACCTCTCAACTATCTCTCTCCATGATGGGAACTCTGAATTCCTCTCTCATAGCTACCAGTGCGAGTGGGGTGAGTGCATTTGTAACTGGGAGAAATTATCAGGGCTCACCCAGGACCAGACAGGCAGACCTATAAATTGCAGTTTTTAGTACTCACAGGAAAATCAAGCCAAATCTGCTGCCCTTAATTTGGGGGTTCTCCAGGTGATAGGTTGTCAAAACTTTGCTCTGTGTGCCAAGCTTTTTTTTTTTTGCCATCTGTGGGACTGTTTGCTTTCTGCCTCCTGCTGACAGTGTTCTTCCCCCTCTAAATGATTTTCCAGTGAAGCTAGTTAATCAAACCAAAATAGAATATTAACACCGCCCACAGACAACATATTTGGTCCTGACAAGCCAAGCCTTTCATTTGCCATCTGAGATCACAATAAGCATGCTTGAATTACCACAGCTGTGATCGATTACTCAAGAATGAAATAGAAGCTACACCATGGGCTGATGGGAACTTTTGGCAGGGAAAGAAGAGTGGGGAGGGTCATGGTCCATGAATCTGGACTGGCTTCCAGTGGACTTATGCTCTCAGTATATCATTCAGGTAGTGAGCAAAGGTGGGGGTGGGCGGGCAGGGAGAGGCCAGGGATGAGGATGGATTAACAGGATTATACTAGATTAGAGCTGCAAGGGAGCTTGAAGAACATCCTGCCCAACTATTTCACAGAGGAGGAGACTGAGGTCTGGGGAGGGAAGGGGCATTGCCAAAGGCCAGACAGTACAAATCCAATAAAACAGACACATTTTTGGTTAATTTGATTAAAAAAAAAAGGAAGAAGGAAACCGAGTCACCAGTATCAAAAATGAAAAGGGTGAATTTACCACTAATGAAGGGTAAATTAAAGCAATAATCAGGAGCTATTTTGCCCAACTCTACGCCAATAAATCTAAGATCTAAGTGAAATGGATGAATATTTACAAAAATATAAACTTCTCAGGTTAACAGAAGAGGAAATAAAATACTTAAATCACTCCATTTTAGAAAAAAGAAACTGAACAAGTCATCAATGAATTTCCTAAGAAGAAACTCCAGGGCCAGATGGATTTATAAGTGAATTCTATCAAACATTTAAAGAACAATTAATTCCAATACTATATAAACTATTTAGAAAAAACAGGCAAAGGAGCCCTACCAAATTCCTCTTATGACGCAAATACGGCGCTGACACCTAAACCAAGAAGAGCCAGAACAGAGGAAGAAAAAGACAGACCAATTTCCCTGATGAGCACAGACGCAAAGCTTTTAAATGAAATACCAGCAAAGGGATTACAGCAAGTTATCACCAGGGTAACACACTGTGACCAGGTGAGAGTTACACCAAGAATGCGAGGCTGCTTCAGTGTCAGGGAAACTACCAGTGTAATTGACCATATCAATAACAACAAAAATCATGTGATTATCTCAACAGATGCAGAAAAAGCTTCTGACAAAACACAGCGCTCATTCCTATTAAAACACTAGAAATCACAGGAATAAATGGAGTGTTCCTTAAAATGACAGGTAGTGTCTATCTAAAGCCATCCGCAAGCATCGTCTGCAATGGGGATAAGCTACAAGTCTTCCCAACAAGATCAGGGGTGAAATAAGGATGCCCATTGTCACCACTATTATTCTATGTTGTATTAGAAATTTTAGCTTTAAGCAATAAGAGAAGAAAAAGAAATTGAACGAATCAGAATAGGCAACAAGGAGACAAAACTCTTTGCAGATGACACAATGGTACACTTAAGAGAATCCTAGAGAATCAATTAAAAAATTTCTTGAAATAATTAGCAACTTTAGTAAAGTCGCAGGATATAAAATAAACTCACATAAATCATCAGCATTTCTATGTATTACTAACAAAGTCCAGCAACAAGAGATAGAAAGAGAAATTACATTTAAAATAACTGAAGATAATATAAAATATTTGCAAGTCTACTTACCAAGATAAACCCAGGAACTATATGAACACAATTACAAAACATTTTTCACACAAAGTCAGATCTAAACAACTGGAAAAATATCAATTGGTCATGCATACGTTGAGCTAATATAATAAAAATGACAATTCTATCTAAATTAATTTATGTATTCAGTGCCATACCAATGAAATTACCAAAATTATTTTACAGAACTAGAAAAAATAATAACAAAATTCATCTGCGGGAACAAAAGGTCAAAAATATCAAGGGAATTAGTGAAAAAAAATGCAAAAGAAGGTGACTTAGCTGTATCAGATCTAAAACTTCCCTTTCTTCCTTCCTTCTTTCCTTCCTGTGAGGCAACTGGGGTTAAGTGACTTGCCCAAGGTCACACAGGTAATACGTATCAAGTGTCTGAGGCAGGATTTGAACTCAGGTCCTGCTGACTCCAGGGCCAGTGCTTTAACCATTGTGCCACCTAGCTGCCCCTAAAGCTACATTATAAAACAGCAATCATCAAAACTATCTAGTATTGGCTAAGAAATAGAGTGGTGGACCAGTGGAATAGATTATGTACATCAGACACTGTAGTCAATGACTATAGTAATCTACTATTTGATGAACCCAAAGACCCCAGCTTCTGGGATAAGAACTCACTATCTGACAAAAACTGCTGGGAAAAGTGGAAAGTAGTATGGCAGAAACTAGGCATAGGCCAACACCTCACACTGTATACATGCCAAGATAAGGTCAACATGGGTACATGATTTAGACATAAAAAGTGATATCGTAAGCAAATCAGGAGAGCAAGGAATAGTTTACCGGTCAGATTTATGGAGAAGGAGAAGGGAAGAACTTATGACCAACCAAAACCAGAGGTAGAGAATATTATGAAATGCAAAATGGATAATTTTGATTACATTAAATTAAAAACCAACACAAACAAATCAGAAGCAAAGCAGAAGAAAGATGGGAAACATTTTTTTTGGGGGGGCTAAGCAATGGGGTTAAGTGACTTGCCCAGGGTCACACAGCTAGTGTTATGTGTCTGAAGCAGGATTTAACTCAGGTCCTCCTCAATCCAGGACTGGTGCTCTATCCACTGTGCCACCTAGCTGCCCTGAACATTTTTAATAGAAAGTGTTTCTGATAAAGGCCTCATTTCTCAAATATGTAGAGAACTGAATCAAATTTATAAGAATATAAGTCATTCCTAACTGATAAAAATGGTCAAAGGACATGAACAGGCAGTTTTCAGATGAAGAAATTAAAATTATCTATTGTCATATGAAAAAATACTCTAAATCACTATTGATTAGAGAAATGAAAATCAAAACAACTCTGAGGTACTACCTCACATTTATCAGACTGGCTAATATGATAGAAAAGGCAAATGACAAATGTTGGAGAAGATGTGGGAAAACTGGGACACTAATGCATTGTTGGTGGAGTTGTGAAATGATCCAACCATTCAGGAGAGTAATTTGGAAATGTGCCCAAAGGACAATCAAACTGTGCATACCCTTTAATCCAGCAATACCACTACTAGGTCTGTATCCAAAAGAGATCATAAAATGGAGAAAGGGCCTACAAGCACAAAAATATTCATAATAACTCTTTTTGTGGTGGCAAAGAATTGGAAACTGAGCAAATGCCCATCCATTGGGGAATGGCTGAACAAGTTGTGGTATATGAATGTGATGGAATATTATTGTGCGATAAGAAATGATGAACATGTGTATTTCAGAAAAGTCTGGAAAGACTTACATGAATTGATACTGAGTAAAGTGAGCAGAACCAGGAGAACACTGTACACAGTAACAGTAAACTGTGCAATGATCAACTCTGACTGACAATGATCTAAGACAATTCAAAAAGAGTCATGATGGAAAATGTTATCCACATCCAGAGAAAGGACTATGGAGTCTGAATGTAGATCAAAGTATGTTATTTTCACTTTTTTGGGGTGACTTTTCCCTTTTGTTCTGTTTCTTCTTTCACAACATGACTAATGTGGAAATATGTTTCCATGATTGCACACATATAACTTATATCAGACTGCTTGCCATCTTGGAGAGGGGGGAGGGAAGGAGAAAAATTTGCAACTCAAAATCTTATAAAAATGAATGTTGAAAACCATCTTTACATGTAGTAAGAAAAAATAAAATATTTTAAAAAATCATGAAAAAGAGAAAAAGAAATATCATTCCTTCTTTTCCTTCAAAGTATCCAAGATGCCACATATATTTGCTAGACAGTTAATCGGTCTCCAGGTAAGCCTGAATAGGAGAACTGCTCTTAATGTTAGATGGCTAATCATTCAATAAACATTGACTGCTTTCTCTTGTATCTCCTCCCATAGCACCAAGCCTAGTGCTATGAACTTAGATTCCTGCCCTAACTATATTAAGCCTCTGTGCTAGACATGTGATCTGTTTTCTGAGCTGCTCATCAATTAATTTCCTCTTCTAGGTGGTCTGTAATATTGATAGAATAGAGGTTTCTTGGGAAGATGATGGGCAGGGTGAGAAATGACTGTGTTATTATTGTCTTTGTATTCCCAGGACCTACCACAGTGCCTGGCCCATAGTAGGCACTTAATAAATACTTGTTGATTGATTCATTTTGTGAAAATCTCCTTTGATTCCCTACACTGTTGGGTTGGGACACAAAGTAAATACAGGATTGGCAAATGAGTTGTATAGACTGTTAAAAGAGTTAGGAGTTACAAGGAAGACACAGTAGATTGCTATGGGTTGAAGTGATCAGCAAAGTCTTCAGGGAGAAGTGGAAATTAAGTTGGACGATGAATGATGGAAATGATTAGAAGGGGAAGGGCGATGT